ACGACCTGATCATGAACAAATAACTACTGCAGCTGCTGTGTTTGACTTTTGTAAATCAAACATAGAGAAAATCAACTTTCACTTTATATCAAAGGCTGAAAATTATGAATTGCGGATCAAACTGGAAGAGTGATTTTCACTAACAAGAACTGTGCCAGGAACTAGAAGTTTTCACCACTATAAACCGATTTCTAGTGATTCCTTAGAAATTAGAAGGGTAACGGCGACCAAAGATCCAGATTTGACTTTTTCATTTATAGAGGACAATTTGTGGCATCCATCTTCAAAGCCCTCACTAAACTCCTATGTTGCTGCAGTGTATGATGGCCATTGGTACTTTGCTCTTGTGAGGAATACTTCAGATGAAGATGAAGATGCTGAACTAGTGTTCATGTAAATCATTTTACTGACCACAAAGAGAAGATTCCTGTTTTATCCCATTTGATAACATTTTATGTTCAGTTGGTGCTCCACAAACAAGTTCTACCTTTACAACCAAGGATTTAGAGCTGGCTGAATCAAACCTAAACAAATGGCGTACTAGTCAGGAAGGACTTTGAAATTCTGCCAAATCAAAATAACTTTGTAAGTGTGTAATCTCTCTTGTTATAACAGTTACTCAAATGAAGTGTGTAATCTTTATTGTTATATCATTTACTCAAATTGTAAATTAGCCCATAATAAAGTAACATTCAACTATTTTGTTACAATGGTTTACCGCTCAAAAGCTTTTAACTATAAATTTGTTTAAGGAAATATCAAGTAATCTTCAAAAATGCAATTTAATATTGTCAAAGAACTATAGGACTAAGGTAAGTTAAGCTTTCATATCTGCGAACTCTTGTAGGTATTTTCTTTATAAGATGCAATATATATTTTACTAAGTTTTTAGCGTTAATTAATACTTTAGTAAAACTTTTTTTTCAATATCTGTACATAAAAAAAGGGTCATAATAGGCCTCAGAAACACCCTGCTTGGGATGAGATTCTTGTTAAAGTGCTCAAAGCAACAGCACATTATATATCCCACAACCAGTTAAGCATTTACCTAGATTGTAATGGTTTTCTTTTTGAGAATCTGTTTGGCTTTTGAACCAGTTACAGTACTAGTGGGGCTGAGTCTCGAATAATTGCGCAGGTCTTGGGGGACTTGGATAGATTACTGTTGGTGTGTTCTGTGATCTACCCTCGGCTTTTGACTGTGTAAAGTAGGTTCAAGTTTTATTGCATTTTAGGTAATTATTAGGCCTGGGTTCAGTCTTTTCTTAGCAAAATAAAACAGCAAACTAGTTACAGTAACAATAATGGTACCAAGTCGATATCGTACTGGGGCACTGTAAGTAATGGAGTACCCCAAGGGTCTATTTTGGGCCCTCTGTTATTTTTAATATTTATAAATGATTTGCCTTATAATGTTAAATAAAGTAACCTAATTTTGTATGCTGAGGACACAACCTCCCTAGTGAAGTGTAAATGTGACCAGGATATAAAATTAGAAATCTACAATTCATTAACAGATTTAGATAAATGGTTTACAGTGGAACCTCCTTAATCCGAACCCCCTTAATCCGAACGTCCACTAATCTGAACGCATCATTGCTGTACTCTATATACAGTAAAGTAGTTCTTTATAGGATACTGTATTTATTTGTATACATACCATAATTGTTTCTATTGTTATGTACAGTACTGTTTATTCCCTGTTTACTACTGTATTAAATAAACAATGTATTTTACGCCACACTACACTATTTAGACGAACTTCCCACGCAAGGATTTAGTCCAGAAAACAACTGTTTGCCGCAGGCTTGTACAAAAAGAGAATGACTACGTCTGCCTGAAGATGATCCCGTGAGGATCGAAAACCGGTTGCCTTTCGAGGTCAAAAGGATTACTTGACAGCAGGTAATTTCACCAGTGCACGTTTTGATCAGTGATTCGGAGGCTTAACTCAAACAAAATGAAGATCATAGAAATTATCTTTTTCATTCTCATCTGCATCTTCTGTTGGGGCGTAAATGCTAATTAAAAAAAGTTATTAAATTATCCTCTTATTCTAAATTGCACATTCTATTGCTTACTGGTTCAAAGTGTATCACAGCTTCAGCTAATTTTTTGTTTAATGCAAAACCTACTCCTCCATAGAACCTATTTTCTTTACAGCCACTATAGTAAATCAGGTACTTCTTTGTGTTTATCCTTCCTGCCAAGGGCCAACGGGTCTCCTGTAGTACCACAATGTCCATTTTGTATTTCTCCAGTTCTTCTACTAATATATCACTAGCTCCAGGTGTTGCAGGGGTTCTTACATTCCAAGTGCCAATTGGTAAATGTTTTAAGCCAAGACATAGACATAGACATAATTTATTTGCACAAAACATTCCATACATGTCATAACATTTAGAATAGATGCATTGTCAAAACTATATCCATACATCAAAAATATTCAACATTTAAACTTAACTTAGAATTAAAAACTTAAAATGAAAAAATAAAAAAATGTTCTAAATTGAAGTTCTGTAAAAATCTTCAATTAAGTAAAAAGCCTTGTCAATAAGTAAATTATCTATTGTCTCTTTAAATTTGGTTTTGCTTAGTGATTTATAGCACGGCGGAAGCACATTGTACAATCTCAGCCCAGCATACAATGGAGATTTTTCATATAGGGTCAAACGGTGTTTGGGGAGTCTAAATCTGGGGACAATGTTTGTGCTGTGGTTTAACACACATTAACACTGTAAAGGCCCTAACAACAGTTTAAATAGTCTCTCATACTACCAGTAAAACATTTTATATTATATAGTATGCTATATTGCTAGCAAAACTTTTCTCAAGATTAGTTGCGAAACTTGTTTCCATCTACTATTTAAGACTACATAATCTCAACGTTTGCCCCCTTGCATAGATTTTGCAGGTTTTGTAAATACGGGAAAATTTTAGTATCCAAACGATGACTTCTTTGGAATTGTTTGTGTTTTAAAAACTGTTAAAAATGTATGTGTTAAAAGTGTATGAGTAGTTTTGGCATGAAACGGTGTATAAATTACGATAGCAATAAATTTACCAATTATGTTTTTGGTGAACTCACGGAATAGTAGAAAAACGGCGAGAAAACATACAAATTAAAACTAATAAGGATAATTGGATTTTTTTTCTGAATTAAAGGTTTGGATTTAGCGAAGAAAAGGACCATTGCTGAAAATACTACCTCTACAGGCCTAAGACAAATGTTAAGACCGGGTCTACACTATCCGTTTCACCGCATCCATAAAAAACGGATGCGTTTCAACAGGAACACTAGTTGCGTGTGCACATAATTCTTTACCAGTGATCCCACGCGTCATTCTCAGTCGTGAAGTAACAGAGAGTAGACGTGTTAAGCAGTTTAGAAACATTTTCTTGTAAACAATTTTTGTTATGCTGTAAGGTTTATTTTATAAGTTAACAGTCATGCTGTATAATATAAAACTTGAGTATGCAATGGAAGCAAGTGATTTACTAATAACAAATCACAGAATATTTGTCCCGTATACTTCTATCAGAATATTCTTCGGCTTGCTTATCCCACAATGACGGCTGGCCGTGAATATTTTCAATGAATTTATCCACATCAAACTGTTCAACTAAATTTCTACACAGCAGAATATATTATTTAAACTGCACAAGGCTACAGGACAATATGGACGCTCAAACAAGACTGAATGTTGTCATTGTCCCACAGTCCCACCACGCAGCAGCAACATCCCGTTGACGGTGCGTTGCATTTTTGCAACCGGTTTCGACCAATGTGTGCGCGCCTGTTCAACGGGACCATTGAAAACGGATAGTGTAGACCCGGCCTAAATAAGATTATTTTGTTCAGCCACATCACACGAAGGCAAATATTTCCATTTTAGCACATTATCAAGTACGGCATGATATATAATGATTTATCGTACAATTACGATATAGTAATATGTTATAATATCACAATCGCACTTGGTTTTGTTACCTCCACATGAAATATTCTAGTACACTGTTCAATACTGTAAAAATAATAATTTATAAACAAAAAATTTATCAACTCTGCTTACGGACTCATGATTTAGGAATTAGCTTTGTATAAATGGATTATATGTAGGACCTACTATTTATAATACTTGTATAAACATGCTGTATCATGATATACCGATAGTAATAAAGGTTTAAAGTGAAATCAGAGTGTTTAACCAATGTTTAAGACGAGAATTTGCCCGCCTCTCAATGCCATCGGTGAACCGCAGACCCCTTACATTACTTACATGAGGTGGGGGTAACGGGTGCGTGCCGGCTCGTTCTCGTAGCACGGAGTCGGCGATACAGTGTTGTTATTATATATCTATGACTCAGGCACATGGTCATAAGAGGCTTTAGGTTTGTTGAGGGGTCAAGAAAGAAGGGCAACATTATCTCTTGGGTCTTTAGTTAGACCACACCACATTGGGACTTAAAGCCCAAGACTGTGTGATGTTGAAAAGAGAGAAGATGGAAAGTTATTGACAGCCAAAAGACTAACCAATTCTGATGCAGCTTCCCTTGTACTAATGGTGACTTCAGTACCAATACACTACAGTACAATAATCTACCATTGGTGTTTATCTTCATATTTCACTGTTAGGTAACATCATCTATGATTTAAATGACACACACAATTAGTGTGTATATGCAGTAAAATAAAATACATGATGTGAAATAGATTTCGCCCTACTTATTACAGAATATAATTTTTGCACATTTTTTAATAGAAGTCAGAGGATCTGAATTCAATCAACTGCTTCAAACATAGTGTACCCTCTAATTCTTTTAATTTTTTGTTATTACCGGTACTTAGAGAGTATGACAAAATCCTAAGTATATATTTTAGTAAAGATTTGTCAACAACTGGTTATTTATTAGGACGTATAAGAACTAAAAACAAACAAAATTAATTTAAATTATAAATTTAATATCTGATTTTTGAACATCTACTAAGTGTTACTCACAATACTATGGAATTTTGTTTCTTGTCTTGGCTTGGGTCACTTCCATTGGATCGGTCTACTGGAGAAGCAAACACAGAAATGCATTATTCACATAAATCATTATTCTAACAAAGCAAAATAATTCAGCGGGTCCAGACTATATTACTATAGAACATCATCACAAACAAAGCAAAATAATTCAGCGGGTCCAGACTATATTACTATAGAACATCATCACAATCAATGAAACACAGATCTATGAAAGTAAAAAGGAAGAACCAAGTTCTTTAGTTATTTTCTGTACAGTACTGAGTTTAAAAAATATCACAGGTTTCTTTTTATATTAGAATAACACTTACTTAACAGGTTGCCATTATAAACTGTTCACACTTAGCAGTTAAGGAAGAACCATTAAATATTGTCATATCACTCATGAAGTAAGAAATTTCATAAATTGGTATTGCAGGCAGACTTAACCGTTTGAAATGCTACCATATTTATTTGGTATTGCATTTTTTCTATTTCCTTCCCTAAAGTTCAGAGGCACACATCAATACTGTTTCCTTCAATTTTAATTTAACCTCATACCTCCAAATTTTAGGTCTGTCCACTTTAGGATTGACTGTTGGCCTTTTCCTCCCTGTGTTGACAGCAGTACTCATAAAACTAGCAAGCAAGGCATCTTGATTTGATTTTGCCTCACAGGTCCAAAGTTTATCAAACAAGAGTTGTTGATCTTTATTTGATATTTTAGTAAAACAGTTCTTGTTGCAACATTTTTCTACTATACTAAACATTTTACCTGGGACATTAACCCCTGTGGAAGAAACATAACCTTTTCCATATAACCTGTGACGTTTTCTAGTATTTCGAGCCCATTCTTCCTTATTTTCACTTTTCTTATTAGTACCCTTCTTCTTAACACGCTCAGTGCGGCAGGCATTCCAACAGGCGCTCGCCAATGGCGGCAAGGCCCAGGCGAAGCCCTGGCGCGGCACCGTAACAGTGAACGCAATTGGCATTCAAATATTTCAATCAAATATACAACAAAAGACAAATAACAAAAGAGCAGCGGTGATTGTACTAAGTTACCCCGAGATTGGACGTAGTTCCCTAAAACACACAAAGGTAGCAGCACTGCCTGGATCAGTAGTCAGTGGCCTTGTAATATGGCTTGAAGAGAGAAAATCCCCGAAACCGGGACAAAAGCATTGTCAGACGGGATTTTGATTGTACGGGAAATTTTAGTACCAACCTACACCAAAATAAAGCTCACATTCTAAGCTACAGGCTAGCAACGGTTTTAACGTGAGCTCATACTGAACTATTGTAGTGAGGATTGTGCAACTACATCAATTGATTGTGTTAAAAGTGTCCAAAATAGTAGATTTAGGCCCGATTTCACCAAACACTTAAACCGCCGCTAAGCCTTCCTCTAACTGCAGTTAGCTCTTAACTGAAGTAAACAGATTTCACCACTCGCCGTTAGAGCTAGTTTGGACTAGGGTAAAATATGTATAATCATACCCAAAATACATTTTGGCTGTTTAGACCACTTTTCCTAAGAAGCATTTCATTTTTAGTTTACAAAATGCCAGTGGCTTTGAGCACACATACAATGCTCATTAACTACAACTATCACCCTTGAAACTGGTGAGAGATTTTTATCACTGTTATTTGACAATGATTTATCAAAGTGTAATGGTGGTGTTTTTACAAAACAGTTCTTTAATGAATTAATTTTATAAAATTTTATAACCTTAATCACTCAAATCGACATAATCAGACAGACACTGTTTTTAATCCCTAAGAGTAGGATGAAGCCCATATTTTATTTTCATTGTAGATGTTAGCCTCTGGATTTCTAAATAATATTTTTTAAGTTTTAATATCTGCTATTGGGCAATCCATTGAAATGAATGGATTGATGGATTGAATGGATTGTCTAATAGCAGGTATTTAACCCTTTTTTAACCATATTTTATGAAATAACCTACTGTGACCTGTTATTATGAATATAAAATTGAGGAAAACAGCTTCATCATCACACTTTGCTGATGTTTATGTGTCCATAGCTTATAGATTCATTTTGGCTTTATTTAAGAAATTGATTGTGATCAAGCAAATGGTGTCAGAGCTAGAAGCCAAGCAAAGCCTTAATGAATAAATGAATCCAACGGATGATCTTTTGGTTTGATTTTAAAATATAATAAAGCACTGAAAGAAATATTGCTACAAAGCGTTAGAGCACATAAAAGAAATTTGTAAACTAAAAAAGTTTAACAAAACTCCAAAAATGCATCTTTTTTACATTTACACTGTGCTCAATACAAAATGGTAAACACACCAGTTGGGAAACAGTCACTTTCATTCATTAAAAATGTTCTACGATTCAACCTAGGGCTGATCCCGGAAATCTCATCAGGCGACATATTTATATATAAATACCATTTTGTAGATGAGTGGGTGTAAGTGTAAAATGTTAATATACAAGGGTGATTTATAAGGGTAGTTTTTTGTTTATACATCCGTAGTTGGCTTGAACGCCGCAACGAGGTTCCTCGCCACTTACTGGCATCATTTGAGAACAGGTTGACAACAATTGCAGATCTGTAGCTGACGTGTACACTTTGCTGTGTGTTTTAAAATTGTTTTTAACTAGAGTATTAAGGTCAGTGATACGTTTTTGACCACAAGAAACATATGTGATATTGACAATCATCGCCAGATGACTGAAGTTTATGACCCTAATGCAATAATAGCAAGGAAATTGCATAATAGGCTAGGGTGTTTATAAATGGCCGTGAAAATGTTCATTTCGGAAGGAATTGTATTTTGGAGTGTACTCAGACTTCTCATAGAAGACCACAAAGGAAAAAGGATTCCACGGCCATTTTTTCACCCCATAACGAGTTTCTGCACTTAACCCTCACTCATTGCATTAGGGCTCAGCCTTCAGTCATCTGACAATGAATGTCGGCATCGGATATGTTTCTTGTAATCAAAACATGTTTCACTGGCCTCATCTCGCATGTGGCGGGAGAATGGATAGTAACATAATTTAAAAAACACACAGTGAAGCGTAAATGTCAGCAACAGAGCTGCAACCTGTTCAAAAATGATGTTAGTAGTGGCGAGGAGCCTCGTTGCGGTTTACAAGCAAACTACGCCTCCATACACAAAAACTACCCTTCATAAAAAAATCCTTTTATTTTGAAATGTTATTAAAAGTTTTTACAATCTGTGTTTTACAGTAAATGTACTATATTACATTAAAAAAATAAAACTTATATAAAAAAAACATAATGGAATGAAAATAAATAATAACAAAACCATACACAAGTTTAAAATTTTATTAAAAACTAAAATACATACATGGAGAATAATCGCAGAATAAAATCAACTCTATACAAAATATTCGGATAAAAAAATTTAAAACAAAACTTTTTGATTTCATAAAGAGAAATAAAACTCACTCTAATATGAAAATAAATGAAACCTTTAAAAAAATAAATATATTATGTGTGAGGAATTTATGCAGCTAAATTATAAACAGAAACATAGAATAAAATATCACTCGAAGGATAGTCCAGCCAAATCGCTCAGAGGTCAGAGGTTAATGAAACAATAGTAGTTTATGCAATGATCACGTAACGATAGTCTTTAAGGCACGAGTAGGTACAAGCCTTGGCGAGTGCCTTTGAAACTTCTACAAGTGTCTTAAAGGCAAATTACGCGAGTTGCATACACTACTTTACCTACAGCCTTTTTTTAATTACTAACAATCACTACTCATAACGTCTATGTTTTCGTTTATAACCTCTCATTGTCACTGATTGTGATGCAACGACTCATTGTCGCAACCACTCACTCATTAGTGTATAATTAATTAAATTGGCATTAACAACTGATAAGTTGATGTTCGAAGCATTACAATTTTACTTAATTCTCTCAACCCTTGAACCTCATTGGTCCAAACTTGTACTGTAAAGTAACAAACAATGATGTAAAGTAAGTAGACAAAACTGTAAAAATTACAGTTCTAAGAACTGAATTGAAAAGGCTAGTTTAAATAACGGTCGCAGGTAAAATACATACAGCTGAAGAGTATTACTATTTCATCTGACAGTGATCAGTGATTTGACTGAACCTGAGGGGGCTATGCTAACTGGTGGGAGTGTTGGAGGTCAACTGATGCAAGCTTAACTCAACATCTTCAGTCGTTAACTCATGCAATCCTCCCGCTTCACCCACCTGATCACCCCCTCCACTGTGAACCACTTTGTTCTCTTTAGCCAGGATCCCATACTTAAGCGTTTGTGGACTAGATTTATTTTCATCGGAAGGGACAGGAGCGTCCCCTCTTCGACATAGGATTGTATCTTTCTTAGGCGGAACGACAGGTTTGTTTGGCGGCACTGGTGGAGGCGCTCCCCTTCCGATCGCTGGCTGCTTTTTTCCGTCCGCAATGGAGCCGAGAAAGCCAACCTTGGCCGGACCACCAGGCGCAAACATCTTTGCCGCAACTGGAGCTGCAGTTCGTGGAGCTGTCGCCACACCTGCTCCTGTCACTGGCACCGGTACTGCTCCCACCACCCGCTTCTCTACCTGTAAAACAAAGTCACAGTTAAGTTGAATCAAAATTTCTATACGCATTTAGATGTTTTTATGTTCTTAGGCCATTCCTGTAAATCTTTATTCTGGTTTAAATCGCTTCAGTTGACAAAGGTTCTACTGCAGGTTAAATTACAGTTTAAAACAGAATGAATGTGGCGGTTGTTATGAAAGTATTATGGAACCAGTTTTATTTAGTCAGTGACAGTGATAAGACAGTGCTGGCCAGCCTTTACAGTTTTTACCCAGTTTTATCACTTTTTATTCCATTTTAATCATTTGATCAACATGACTAGATTTGACTATTGTGATTTTGACAGTATTTTAAAGCATCTTTTGACATACCACAATGTATTAATACATTGATGATGTGGTTGCATACAATGACCTGGCGAAGTTCTAAGGAACGAATCTAATCTAGTTTGTCATACCAGCAACTGTGGTTGGATAAGGTAACCCTTTTATTTTATCAATAATATATTCCAACCAAGGGTCACAATGAACAACAACAGAATAACATTATGGAACCTTTGAATTGAGCCGTGACTAATTCCACCGGCGAATGTCACGACTCATATTCAATGGTCAAGGCGTTTTTTATAGTAGGCTAGTTTAGTGTTTCGTTTGTTACTTCCCACGACCCCGACCAAGGCTGTGGGTTTTTGTTCTTATTACTCCCACCGCCAAGAACTTCAGAGGTTGCGTGACAATCAACTAGTTAACCTCGCAGACACTTTTCATCCTTTTCCATCGCCTTTTTGGCAAATGTTTTATGCATAGTTGTTAAAGTTTTTTACTTTGTGCTTAGTCTGCGAGGTTATGGAGTAGTTTAAGAGCGCCATGCGCGCCTTTTGGGGCCCAGGAGGACTACCGTCAACCTTCGACGTTTGGAGCATGGGCGGAGAAACATTTCTTCGTGGGGCCCTCTTTTGGGACTCTGGCCGGCCCCCCTCTCCGTCGAACTTCAGCAGCCCTCCAGTGATGTGCGCCTGAAGACCCATGAACTAGTTATCCGTCGTACCGCAAGTTACTTGTTGTTTTGTTTTCGTCATATATTTAAATTATAGTTGGATTTATAAAAAGAAGAAAGAGACTATCTAAAGTTATTATTGTTGAGGCCTATAGAGTTTATTTTTGTTATTTCTTTTAAAATTTTATTTTAGCTAGCCTAATTACTTGTTAATCTTTAAAAAATTTTATAACCTTTTAATTAGCCTATTCAATTAAATTCATTTTTTGGGGCCCCTAAATTTTCTATAGTTACCAAGTTCAAAAATGCAGTATTAAGAAGACATATTTATATTAATTGTTATATTTTGTTAATTTAAAAGAATTTTGAAAGTAAAAGCTAGTAGGGTCTTTTTAGCCTATTTTGAATAATCAAAGAAATGACTGTAAGTTAGTAGGCCAGATTGGTAGCGAAATTTATTTCAAGTTTAATTGAGAGTTTCATGTATTGTTGTTAATTATTGTTGTTGTGTTTTATTTAAATAGTCAATTACAGCTAGTTTCTCTCAAATGGCGTGTTGTTCTTGAACCTCCATCCATGGTTCTCATTTTGTTAAGTAAAGTTTGTGAGCCGCTCCTCGGGCCTGCGCTGGGTTCACGCTTCCATTTCGTTAGTCTGGGTGCAGGCACGAGGGCATGGTTCAGAATGTTGCTAAAAACACAATTATAATAGTAGGATTTGGAAGGTGCAGAAGATACCCGAATGCCGCCCTATATGAAATAGTGTTATTTAATTTATAACCTTCTGAATATGCTTAAGATAAAAAAAAAAAAACATAAAATGGACAGCTGTAATAATATCACAAACCTTGAATTGTTTTTTTTTTCGGAAATCATTTCTCATACAATCAATGTTGCCTTTATTTTTTTTTTTTATTAATGCAATTATAAATGACATATACATATAATACAAACTGTATAGTAACCTATGAAAAATACATAGTTGACTAAAAGTAGTTCTATTATAAATTATTATATATTATCACTGTTTTGTAAGATAGATTTCCTAAGTTTTAGGATTCATTGTTTGTTATCATTTAAATTTTCACCTCTCTCAGTAAATGGTTCATTGAAAAGGTGCCTTAGAATATCCTGCAAGCCTCACTAATCATTCAGCATCCTCATCTCTCTCAACACTCTAGCATGGACTATCAATCCTACTTTGCTCGTTAGATTCCACATCTAGCCACTGAGAGGAACATACAACTTCTCTATGGCCCAGCACATAATTTAATGGCAATACTAATAAATTACAACTGTAGCCAAACAACAATTAAAAGAAAATAAGCATTAATTTACGAAACATCGACCGTTACTTCCAAAACAACAGAAGACGCACAGGGTGGAATTGACTAGTACATGAAAATAGGCGTCGCTAGACTGAAATGAGGATGTGAATGATGGCAAAAAGTATGCAGTGTTCCTGAAATGTGGTGTGTTATGCAAAGCTAAGGCTGACAATACCAATAACCAATAAATATAGTTTTTACGTAAAAAAAGTACAAACCCGGCCATTTAGACAGCAGCTAAGGGTGCTCTCGCGGGCTAAAAATATCTTAATTCATATTTTAAAAGATTCCAATAATAATTTCCATAGAATTACACATGATATTCATCAAGAGTTGGTCTCACTGCATTACAAAAAAAAAATATTTCTTTTCTTCAACTAACTCCTTTTACTCCTACCTCACATAATGTTTCACAATATCTGCTTTTATTTGAATTTGAATGATTTAACTATTTTTTATTGTCTTCCTCTTAACAAATTTAAAATCAGGATCAAAGAATTCCTCCCAAGTCTAGGGATGGATGAGGCCGAAGTTATCATCACAGCTGATTACCTGGGTGGTTGACCTGACCCTTGTACTGCAATGTCCCCTCCCCTGCCTCTCAACCTTGAGCTCAGCTCCTGGCCTACACAACTGTCACTTGCTCCCACCGAACTTTTTGCTTTCACATCAATTACTTATTTTTTCTTCTAAACAAATTTATATTATCATCCGCAAAATGGTTCTCTCATTTTTGTAATTTCTATTTCATCTCCTTTCAAATAAAAAAAGGTCCCTGAAAATTTTATTATAGGAGCACAGCAGACACACAGGTAGTTTTGCCTATCTCTGCTCATTCCACAGACCAATTTATGTATATTTCTGTTTGCTTTGCACATATTTATGTATATTTTTTTCATTGCGCAACTTGAAGTCACAGTTTTGGTAATAACTTTCTCTTTATCCTACTTGTGTTGTTACATTTTTTTGTTATTGTTGAGATTGTAAATATTCATGTAACATTTTGACGTGGAATCAACAATTCATTAATTTTCATACATACAGTTTAAAACACTCCCAGTTCTGTAGGTGTTGGATAATTGAGAGCCAACTGTTCTAAGATAGTTACCTCAGCAGAGGCTTGAGCGGGCATGGTGTTGGAGGGGAAAGCGACAGCCACATTGCGTAGACTCTGGCCTGGCGACACTGAGCGTGCGATACCTGTAGCTGAAACACCAAATGTACAATCATCAAAATGTTGTGATATAACATGCGGATGGAGCTTTAAAAAGAACCGAAGGCAATAATGAAACCACTGTTTCCAAAGTGCTACAAAGCCTAAAGGACTTGTTTACAGTTTTGACCTTTTGACAGCCAAGCCCAAGAGTATTTTAGCAAAGGAGGCCAATAAATTTCTTTCCGTCTTGGATGAAGCTTGATGAGCTGATAATAGAATTGGATTGTTGTTTAGAAATTTGTATTTGTAAAGAAGGTTATTTGTTTGTATTGATTCTTACTCTGCTCAATTGGCGGACCTGAGGACCCATACCTAGTATACTTTCAAAACCGCACACGGAAGATTTCTCAGGTGCCGTTTGACGTCACTAACTGCTGACGTCACTTTGAGGGAACACCATTACCGCAACGATACGGTTTGGAGCCATCGGCCTCGGTGGTGTAGTGGATAGCGTGTCGGGCTGATAATCCGAATGTACCGGGTTTGATTCCCGCTGGTAGCTTTAACTTTTTGTCAACAATGTTTTTCATATCAGCAAGTTTGGTTGGTTTGGTTAGGTTATGACAATTTAATTTTATAATTAAAACATTATAAAATTGAATTTTAGGCATTTATAATTTTATTTTATGAACAAAACTATTTTTTAATTAGTAAACCTTCATTAGATTTTTTTCATTATCAGCACGTTTGGTTAGTTTGGTTAGGTTATGACAGTTTTAATTTAATAATAGAAAAAGTATAAAATTGTCTGTTTCTTCAGACGCAGCAGTTAGTGACGTCAAACGGCACCTGAGAAATCTTACGTGTGCGTGTGCCCCACCGGTATACTTTTTTAATTCACTGTTTGTTTTAGTTTAACATGTGCTGGTCATTTACCTTAGTTAAGTAGTAATTGATTTTGTTGGCTTTTGTTTGTTTTAAAGTAATTTGGATAGTTTGTATAGGTTATGGATAAAGTATAATTATTATAAGTATATAATATAATAAGTAAAAATTATTATTTTTATAGAAAACTGTTATTTTCTACCTAATTAGATACCCCCCCCCCCTTAGTTCACAGTTACAAAATTGATACCTGTAGTTTTTAACTTAAGTCTCAACATGACTTCCTATACAAAACAATTTAAAAACAACTCTTTAAGCTTGCCTAAAACTTTATAAGTCAACTTAACTAAAATTTGTAAATCAAGATTTACATCCTAAAAAGCTGTCAAAGATCTGCTAAAGATTTTTCTTGTACAGTAGAACGTCGATTATCCGAATTAATTGGGGATTGGGGGTGTTCGGATAACTGATTTTTCGGATAATCGGTCATTGACGGGAAAATACGGGGAACGGGAAATGACGGGAAGGGATAGCGGCCGGCGGCGATTTGCCGATTTTGCGTCTGTGGATACTGTACAATAATATACATTTAATTAATTAACATCCAGATTTATTTTTACAATACAGCAACAAACATGTACAACAGTACTTAGAACTGGACTACAGAATCAGAATGTGTACAGAAAGAAATTAAAAAAAAGTCCAAAATAGATTTTTGCTTTAGTCCAGACACTCGTTTTTTTGCTGCTAAATCTCGCAGTCGTTTTAAAGACAGCAATTGAACAGAATCACATTCTTCTTGCTGCTCTAACCACAGCATTGCAGTCTCTAGGCAGTGAAAAGCTTCATCGTTGGATGGGCCGTTTTCATTAGGGAGGTCGATGTCATAATCCTCTTCTTCGTCTTCATCACCGTTCTCTTGGACGTGAGCTATGATTTCATCGTCCGTCATCACTTCATATCCAGGGTCATCTACATCACATTCAAGCCACTCTTGAATATTCTCTTGATCACAATCTTCAAATTCTGGAGATTGGTTTATAAGGCCAACCAGTTCTGACACAAATTGGGTCGGGGGCTCTTCAGGTGTAGGAGCAGCCTCAGTTGGGCAAAGCTTATTCCAAGCTTTCTTCAGTGTGGTCTCCTTGACGCAGTCCCAAGCTTCTGCAGCCATATAAACAGCATCCTTCATGTTTATTGCTTTATAGGGCTGAAGAATGGGTTTGTCTTCTTCTTGCCCAAGCAGAACCATCCGTAACAATGCTTTTCTGTAATAACGTTTAAAGCTTTCAATTACCTCTTGGTCCATCGGTTGGAGAACTGAGGTTACATTTGAAGGCAAAAAATCCACCTTGAACTTGCCATTTTCTCTGTCGAGGTCCATCGAGGAAGGATGACTTGGAGCATTATCGATAATTAGCAAAACATTTCCAGAGCTCCCAGTTGCGATGTGTTGCTTTTTAACTTCCGGTATAAATACGGTATCATACCATTCGACAAAAATGCTTGTGTCCATCCATGAGTTCTTTTGGTTTTTGTAGGTGAGTGGTAATTTTACAATTCCCTTAAAGCACCTCGGGTTCTTAGATTTCCCAATGATAAGCAAAGGTAGCCTATGAGTTCCAGTTTTATTAGCGCACACCATTGCAGTGATGCGGGACTTGCTTGCCTTAAAACCAGGAGCTGACATCTCTTTCTTAGAAACTAAGGACTTTGTTGGCATTTTCTTCCAATATAGGCCTGTTTCGTCTGCATTATAGACATTGTTATCATCGTAGCCTTCCTCACTGAGCAAACTTGCAAACGAATGTTTGAATTTTTCTCCTGCTTCAGTGTCAGCAGACAGCTTTTCCCCTTGAATATCCAACTCCCTAATACCATGCCTAGATTTAAAACGTTTCAACCAGCCGGTTGATGCCTTAAAGTCAGCGTTACCACCAAGTTTCGCATTCATTTCTAGGGCTTTTTCACAAAGCAAAGGGCCACTTATTGGTTGACCTTGTCCACGTACCTGCATAAACCAAGTGTACACTGCGGTGTCCAAGTCTTGGTTTTCCGCCATTTTCATGGTTTTTCTATGTAGGCTCCCATCTTCACTGTCGAGTACACACGCAAATTTTGTGATGGATTCACTTTTCTTTTTAATGTCAGATATCGTCGCATTTCCAACTCCATATTCCCGAGCTAAACTCGATCCACTAGCACCTCTTTTTAACTGCTCCAATATCTTAAGTTTATCAGAAACACTAAGCACTACGCGTTTACGTTTGGACGACATAGTCAGTGTAGAATGAAACAGTACAATAGAAACTCGTACGAACTGTCGCTGTCGAATGCTCACAGGCGACTGAGACTTGAGACGGATACTGAGTCAGTGGCAGTAGGAGTGGCGCGCGCGGCCATAGTGCACGACAATTTCGTCACGTAGGCCCGCCCCGCCTCCCGCCTAGCAGCCGTGCGGTGGCGTAGCGTTACAACCAGTCGTGATTGGCGCACGATTTTATTGATTTTTGCTTCTTTCTTCCTTTCGGTTAACCGACGTTTCGGATGACCAAGCTTCGGATAATCGACGTTCTACTGTAGTTTGTAGGCCTGATTCTATCTACTTATTCCATTGATGTGAACCAATTGAAAGTCTCAGTATAAATGTATTATGGTTTTTATTTGTTCACATCAAAACATATCTTTAGTTGTAAAATCAATAATATAAAATTGGCAATAAGATGCTGCACATACAAATTTTTATAAAATAGGCAAACAATTCACTGACTTTTCCAGCAATACAAGCTCTTCTAATGTATGATTGAAAATAAATATTTGTCCACCTAAAAGTCATATACCCTATGTCATATACATGTAAACATAAAAGTCAAATGCCACATCAACTTTGCAGAACACAAATCTGGTAAATTTTAATTGTTGTTACTTCACTCCATTGACAAGTAGGAATAAAAAATTGCCGTTTTACTTTGAATCAAAATTCATTGATTCAAATTGAAAATTCATTGATCAAATTGTTGCATTGAATGGAAAGATTTTTGCTGCAATGCACGCCCCTACTTATTATTGTAAACAGAATACAGGAAATATGAACAAACTTTGTCATGTTATTCAGCATGTCAAAAGTAACAATACCCCCACCTGCCGACTAAGCGAATTTCCATTTGTCTGAATAGATATTTAACCAAACCTATTTAAATAACATTAGGTTTAATGAGTACCTAGGTTTGCTGCCAAAAGGAAACTAATAGTGTTTTTTTTTTTATATTAATAACTTTGTATAAAATAAATAAATTTGCCAAGTTTGATGAAAATATATCCATAAACAAGCAAACTACAACATTTTACAATATTCTCCATAAGAATAGTATGCAGGGTGTCTAGTTTATTTCCATTATAAAATTCAAGACTAATTCCAGACTTTTCAAGACTAATTCCAGATTTTTCAAGACTAGCTTTTTCAACAATTAGTGGGTGTTGATACCAAAATGTATCGATTCTAGATTCTTGATAACGATACAAATTTTTATAGCTTAACCAAATTTTCTAAATAATACTACACCAACCCCTGTCTTTGTCATAAAGTAGTATTATGATAATGTGGTGTTTTCAAGTAAAGAAATAATGCAGCAATAAAACATTCTAACTAGCAAATTTGGTTTTTTTTAATCATGAAATCTTTCGTACCGTACGTTTAGACATCATCATTGACTGCAGCGGTTACAGAAACGTGATCGTCGTCGTCCGCGATCACGGCAAAATCATGAACATTTCCCACAGCCTTGTAGACATCAATGACAATATCGTCGTCTCCCGCGGTCTCAGAAACGTCATCGTCATCATCCGCGATCGCGGCAAAATCATGAACACTTCCCGCGGCTGTTTAGACATCACCGTCATCTCCCGCGGTCACGCAAACGTTATCGTCGACGTCCGCAATCACGGCAAAATCATGAACATTTCCCGCGGCCGAGCAGATATCATTGTGGTCTCCCGCGGTCACGGAAACATCTCCCGCGATCGCGACAAAATCATGAACATTTCCCGCGGCCGAGCAGATATCATCGTCGTCTCCCGCGGTCACGGAAACGTCATCGTCATCTCCCGCGGTCACGGACGCGTCATCGTCGTCGTCCGCGATCGCAGCAAAATCATGAAATATATC